CCTATCCCCTGTGTGGGTGTATATCAGTATGTAGTGTCTCTACTCAACAATTATGAACCCAAAGATTAACAAAATAAGGCCCCTTCAAGATTTTAGAATCAGTATAACATCATATTTTAAATCTCTTTTCAAAAGAGTCTTAAGCACTCTGCTTCTTTTCAAACTTGTCTAATTTTTTTATTTATCTGATTTTAACAGGCCTGAGTCCTGTAATGTTTTTAGTCTTGGCTCCAACCCCGTAAAGCATTTAGTAACTTTATTTGAAAGGCTCTTTACAAATACAGTTGTATTTATTTATTCATCATTACGGATTCAAAGTAAAACTAAATAATGGAACATCTATCTATAACTGTCTTCTAATCATTACACCAGTAGTTGTCTTTGTTAGTTGTTTTTTTCCTCAAATAAACAAGATGTGTACAGTTGTTATTGCTGGAGTTTAGGTTGGCCTGTCCTGAATCTGCCTCACAGTTTATTTCCTCTTCAGGGGTGTGACTGGTGTGACCCGTGTGACTGGTGAGACCATCAGGCTGTCAGTGTCCAGTGAAAAATGTCCTGAAGTTCATGAAAACAAACGCATCACTGCGGTCAATGAGGGTGTTCCCTGCAAACAGACAGAGATTTTCAATCTGAAAACCACAACGAATACACGATGGATGAAGGTATGCACAGATCCATGTGTTTTTTAAATGCATTTTTATGTGCTCTATGTTTATTTTCTTTGAACTTAGTTCTTAAAGGTGGGGTATGTAATTTATTTCAGAAACACTTGTTGTTATATCCCATGGAATGCTCTTAACATCCCGATAGCAATGAATATATTAAATGCTTTGACGATAAATCCATTAAAACATGTCATCTGTGGAAGCTGCGGCGCTGTAAAAAGCACGACCAATCATCTGAGCCGGCCCGGCTAAAGTAACTGGATGGCCTACCTGCCTGTCAGCTTTCCATCTGTGCACAAATTTATCTCGTGCCCTCATTGGTCATGTTCGTGTGTGTTGGAGGAGGGAGAGGCAGATTTTTCAAATTCTAGCGCACTCGCGTTGGTTTCTCCTCAATTACACACCCCACCTTTAAGTTAGTACAAAGAAATTACCAATCAGTGAAAGCATAGAAACGAAAAGAGCAACTAAAATAAATAAATAAACGTTGTCCCCCATTTTTAGGGACAACATTTATTCTTTATTCATGGTTTAAAAACACAAAACATTTTGGGATTACTGCATCATGTACTGTACGTTATTTCTTGAAAAATGCAACACTGCCCCCTGTTGTACACATCAGGAACATGTATACCAAACATCTTCCTAAACTATATGTACAGTAGATCATAAAACAATTGTATGTGTATTATCAAGCTTATTTTTATACTACATACTAATACAGTGTAAAAATCATTTGTGGTTTATGGGAGCGTTCAGTTATTATGCTCCAAATATCTGGAACAAACTCCCAGAAACCTGCAGGTCGCTGCAACTCTACTACTTTTAAATCCAGGCTGAAGCTTTTCTTTTTCCTGCTTTTAATTGAACTATTCAATCTTAAACTGCACTGTAACTTTTTATTCATGTGCTTTTTATTCATGTATTTTTTCTTTTAATGTATCTTTTATTATCTTTTCTTTTTATTGACTGTTTTTAAATGCCTTTGTCTGAATGTCTTTCATGTTTGTAAAGAACCTTGAATTGCCTTGAGTTGAAAGGTACTATATAAATAAACTTGCCTTGCCTTGCTTAGGTTGTCTCATCAAGGCATACAACTGTGTCTTTGTCTCAGCCATAAAACAGGTCCCCTTTTGTTCAAATTATGTGTTTGCTTTTACTATCATTCACTTTAAATGTATTGCTTTGTATGAGGCACTTCCATTTGTTGGAAAGTGCTCTTTAAAGAGGCCCTATTCTGCAAATGATTAGGTTTCACATTATGTATTTAGTGTCTCTATGTGACATGTCTCCATGCTTTAATGTTCAAAAAGCTCTTTTTTTTCTCACACTGCCTGGGCTGCAGCACCTCTTTCACCCTCTGTCAGACCTACAGGAAGGGAAAACCTCAAAAAAATAAAAGGGCCTTCTTTAAATAAAATCTTGTCCTTATTCTCACTCCAGGAATGCAAACCACTGCAGGGGAGCATCTCTATAGACGAGCGTGGCTTAATGAGACTGAATGGAGCCTCAGAGAGCGATGCTGGGAATTATACCTGCATGGTAGACGTCACCTTCAACGGCAGGAAGTTCACGGCGGCACGCAGCATACGGTTGACTTTCTCAAGTAAGTACTGAAGGTCACTCCAGCCTGAAGATATGTCCTTATATCCTGATGATTAGACATCAATATGCTTTTGTTTTTATCAAGAGAACTTTTTCATTATTATGTAAATGTTCTATATTATTAGTGATGCCATTTATCTGAAAAATAAAACTGTATTTCAAAAGTTAAGGATTATCCCTGACACAACGTGCTTATATTTTGGGTTGTGAAAGTCAATAAGTAACACTCATTTCTCTGATTTACCAGTGGCTCCTTCTCAGAGATGACTGGCCTTTCCTTCTTATTGTGATTTTTTTACAATGATTATGTGTCTTTAGAGATTCCAGTGGTTGCAGACAAACCTAATGTGATTTACCCTCAACAGGAAGTGGTCATGGTTAAAGAGGGTAAGTGTCACTCTTTAAAAAAATCAGAATAACACACACATACTGTATGTCTCTCAGGTCTGAGATGTGTCATCTACTGAAAATATCACTGTCACTTATAACAATAAGGAAAACAGTTCCAACCTTAGTTTGAGCTTTCTTTCTGAGCGTTAACTTGTCAGACATCTTTAATTCCTAATGATAGGAGGAGGAACCCCTAATGGGACATGGACAGAAAAACTAAAACAACTAGTGAGCGTGAGAAACATTATTTGTTTAGTTGTTTTTGTCCATGTCAACTTACGAGTCTTTTTGAAATGTAAAAGTATTCAAGGACTTATTTCAGCAACTTATTACAGTGAATGTAAAGAGTTCCTCTCCTCTCAGTGACACTTTGTGATATGAGTATGATGAGCTGCTCTTTTCTCTCTCTGATGTCCAGGTATGGCAGCGGAGTTGAAATGTAAAGCCTACATCGGCCTTACTGAGGAGAACGACACCTACATGTATTGGACTGTCGACAACATTTCGACTGAAGATTTTACGCAGCTCAATGATTCCTGGGTCTCGTGAGTTTTGTTTTTCCCGTTATGTTGTTTCATGAAGACCATGTTCAGGATGCTGTGAATCAAAACAAGTTGAGCCCATAAAACCTTCTTGACTAGTTGTAAAATCACAAAATTACCAACACTAATTTGTTTAGTAATTAAATAAGATTGTCAATGAGCACGTTTCTTGGATAAGTAAAAACATGAGGCAACAAACTCGAATACTTTTGTACACAGGGAATATTCTGTGGATTTTTTTTAGGTGTATATCAGTATGTAGTGTCTCTACTTTAAAGAGTCCTCTCCTGCTGATGTTCAGGATTAAAGAGTCCTCTCCTGCTGATGTTCAGGTGTATATCAGTATGTAGTGTCTCTACTTTAAAGAGTCCTCTCCTGCTGATGTTCAGGTGTATATCAGTATGTAGTGTCTCTACTTTAAAGAGTCCTCTCCTGCTGATGTTCAGGTGTATATCAGTATGTAGTGTCTCTACTTTAAAGAGTCCTCTCCTGCTGATGTTCAGGTGTATATCAGTATGTAGTGTCTCTACTTTAAAGAGTCCTCTACTTTAAATAGTCC